GGCTTCTGGTTCCCGGCTTCTTGGTACTAGTGTAAAACCGCTTGGGCTGATTAGCAACATCGCATGTGAAGGAATGTACATTTGCCTTATCGGCTCTAGAGGGCCCTTGGACCTTTTGCAAAGGATTGCTATGGCAGCGGTGTGAGCACAAAGGAGTGCTTGAGCGAGACAGTGAACCTTCGGTTTTACATGGTAGCGGAGCACTACGGTGCTCAGGGACGTTGTGACTGATAACCTGGTCTGCCGCCATGAGTGAGAAAGATCCTTTCAAGGATCTTACCTTTTCTGGTGCGCCGTCAGAGTATCGGTTATTCAGGAGGAAGATCTTGCTGAGTGTGGCATCTCTTGAGGAGAAGCATCTGTACCTAGCCGGCCCACGTATCTTGAATCGACTTCAAGGTGAGGCCTGGCGGGCGACTGAGCACCTCTCCATCGGCGAGCTGCGCACTGAGCAAGGATGGCTCAAAGTCCTGAGGGCCCTGGATGATCACTACAGGTACCTCCCGGAGACTGAGCTGAATGAGTGTGTGGATGAGTGTCTTTTCCATCTCAAGCGTCGGGGCAATGAGGGCCCGACCGCTTTTGTGTCGCGCTTCAAGGCGGTGCTTAGCAGGCCGGAGACTCTGGTGGCGGCTGAATGTGCCCAACAGAAGGGCTCGACCAAGCGCCGGAGGCCTACCGACAAGCACGCCGACAGTGAAGCCGAGCAGCAAAGTAGCAGCCTGAGCTCGGACCATGCAGCTGATGATGACGGTGACGACGAGCCCAGGCTGACCAGGGACCGTGTCGACCAGGCGGCAGCCGCTTCAGATCCAGCGGCTACAGCAAAGGCGACGGGCCAACCACAGATTCCAAGGGCCCTAAGACGGTTGGCAGCTTCATCGACTCGGTCAAGGGGAAGAAGAAAACACCTGCCTCCGGCGGCGGATCCCATCGGAGCCGAGGCACGCATCGTGCCGACGAAGAGCGGGCGAACCGCCGCATGCTGGAAGACCTCGGCAAGCTCGAGGTTGGGCACCTGCGTGTGAAGCCGATCTTTTTCGAGGTGATCCTGGGCCACTTGTTCATGAGGAAGTATGGCCTGACCAGAGAGCAAAGGAGCCAAGTGATAAGGTCTACGGGGGGCTCCTGCAAGTTCAAGGATGTAGAGAAGGTTATCCGTGCTTCCGACTACGAAGACAAGATGAATGAACCAGGCACCCGACATGCCCCGCCTCGGCAAGGTCGCTCCACACATGTTCTTGCCGCCGAAGAAGGAAGCAGCCTAAGTGAGCCCACCTACTCCGACGATGAAGAAGTACATGAGGCTGCTGAAAGCTTCGACGAAGAGGGCGACGAGGAACTGGAAGAAGCTTATGAAGTTCAGAAGCAGGCTAAGCACGAGGCTAAGAGAGCCTACCGGTCCTACAGAGATCAAGAAAGAAAGGCAGCCCCACATGCCAGTGGTCGCCTTGCCGCCCAACGCGTCAGCTCCGAGTGACGCCCTGCCGGTGCAGCCCACCTTCAAGTACGACAAGAAGCCACCCAGACGCCCAGGTAAGGACACCAAAGGTGGCCGCAAGGGTCGTAAGGAGGACATCAACATGATCGAGACCGAGCCCCTCAGTGAGTTCCTATACATGGTCTCTGCTGTGTCCGAGGAGAAGACGTCTGAGAATGAGATCGTCCTCGAGATCTGCTCGGTGACGGTTCCGGCTGGGCTGGCTGTGATCGACACCGGGTGCACTACGTCAGTGGTAGGAGAAGACACCGCAAGACGGTACAAGACCTACCTCCGCGAGCGGGGTCTCCCTGAGCCCCAGGAGGTCTCTTTGCCTCCGGTACAACTGAAGGGCTTCGACGGTACACGAACCTCTACCAGCAAGGGATTGCGCTGGACCGTCAAACTCGGGAAGCTGTGGGGTCAAGTGACCACATACTCGGTCCCGGGGCAGGTTCCATTTCTCCTGTCACGGAAGGTCTTGCAAGGGATGGAGGCTACGATCGACCTGGGCAAGTGCACGATGACCAGTGTCAAGCACGGGATCCAGGATGAGCCGCTGATGCAGGCGCCAAATGGGCACTTGCTCCTCCCCCTGGTGCCCTCCGACGGCGTCGAAGATGTCTTGCAGGTTCGGGAAGTGCCGTCGCGCTGTGCCGAGTCGTCTCTCGAAGGGGATAAGGGTCTTGAACAACCTAAGGCTAGGCCTCATAAAGAAAAACCCCCTAGGAACCCCAAGCAACCTTCCGAGATTTCCGATGTTGACAGGAAGCGCCACTTCCAGACTGTGATGAAGCATACTAGGTACACGCAGGCCGATGTCGGGACGTTGCGGTATCAGCTTAGGATGCTTTTTGGAAGGGATGTAGATTTTGCGCTGTGTGGCTATCGTCCCCGATTTGAGCGAGTGCCAAAACCTGCAGCCACGCATCACATGCTGGTGCGTGTGGCGCACCTGAGCCCGCAAGGCTCTCTTGAGCTTACCTCCTGGAGCCCTAGACAACCTGCATCCAGGAGAGCGGTCTTCGAACGACCGGGTGCGTGCATCTTTGCATACTGCTACGGTGATGCCTCGCAGGCACCTGTATCTGACGAGCCACATGTTCAGGATCGGGGTTCAGAGGTTGAAGAAAATTTGTCAGAGGGTAGAGATCTAGCCGTCGAGCCTAAGAAAAATGATCAAAAGAACCCATCAAACCCTGATACCCAGGAGGAAGTTGAATCTGTCGAAAGCACCCAAGCCACGTGCGGCACCTCCAGGCTGCTGCAGGATCGCTGCTTGTGTGACTGCTGTGCGTGCGATGCAACCAAAGCAGCCGAGCCTGAACGAGAGAGCCCGGCGGGTACTCAAGACCTTGAGGCTACGTACGAAGAAGTTGACTGGACTACGTTGGAGCATCTTCCCCTGCCAACCCAGAGTAGACGACAGATAGCTAGACAGGTTCAAGCTGTTAGGCGTGTTCCGTTTCAGCTTGCATTGTCATCTCTTCGTGAAGAACCTGAAGCTGTTGAAAAAGAACTCAAGGAGTGGCTAGGACCCCAGGCCCAGGCTCTCTCTCTGCAGAAAGTAGGTCTGGTGGAAGTGTTCTCCGGCCGCGCACCGCTTTCTCACCACTGCGAGCAAGTCCGCGGTTTGGCAAGCATTAGGTTGGGTGCTAGACATGGTCGAGACTTTTCCCGAGCCCGGGACCGCAGACTCCTGTGTTGCTCCTTATTGCCCGCACTAGGTTTAAGGATGTGTGGTTCGCTTGGCCCTGTGATTGTTGGTCCGGTTGGTCTAGGGTTAACTTAGCTCAGGGTGGTTCCGCTGCAAGGACTGCGCTTGCCAAACGGTAGAAGGAACGGCCGTTTCTTCGCTTGTTTGAACAGACCTGGTCTCTGCAGACCATGCTCGGTGGCCATGCTTACGCCGAGAACCCTGTAGGATCCCTAGCCTGGCACGAGATCACCCTAGGCCCTGCCTATGAAGTCGACTTCGATATGTGCGCAGTAGGACTCCTTGACAGAAGGCTAGGTCTTCCCATTAGAAAGCCGACTAGGATAGTGACCTCTGACCCTAGGCTGGTTGAATCCCTAGATAAGTGTAAGTGCCCGGGCCACGCGGAGCATGCCCACCTGACCGGGCAGCATGCACAGGGTTCGGAGGTGTATCCTCGGAAGCTTTGCCGCAGAATTGCATCAGTGTTTGCCAGCCGTGACAAGCATGTTACTCCTGTCCACGACATTTTCCTGGAAACTGATGAAGAGGCAGACTCCGAGCGCGAAAGCGAGCCCGGAGATGAGGCTGAGGGGAATCCGGCCATGCAGGAAGCGAACCGCCGGTCGTATGCGGCCATGATACAGAAACTTCATGTGAACACCGGCCACGCCTCGGTTCCTCAGATGCTCCGTCTAGCCCAGAGGGCCAAGGCTCCGGATGGAGTCGTGGCTGCTATCCGGAAGTTCAAGTGTCCAGTGTGTGACGAACTTCAGGTTCCGCCTTCGCACCGGGTAGCAGCGTTAAGGCACACTGAGACCCCGAACCATATCGTCGGGTTAGATGTCGTGCAAGTTGAGCTTAAGCGGGACACATCCTCGGGAATTGTAGAACAGAAATATAATGTCCTCACGGCTGTCGACTATGCAACAGACTTTGCTCAGCAGATCGTGTTGCCCGCTGGACCGGGAGTGGTCAGCCGTGCTTTCCATTCTCTGTGGTCTCCCAGCAGATAAGGCCCCACGACTTGCCAGGGACGCCGCGGACGCGGGGACGCGGGGGACGCTGGGGACGGCGGGGACGGGACGCTGGGGACGCTGGGGACGCCGGGGACGCCGGGCACGGAACGCTGGGGACGCTGGGGCCGGGGACGCTGACGCTGGGGACGGCAAGGACGCCGGGCAGAATTGGACGATGTCGTCGTAGTCGTCTGGAAGTTGCCTAACGGCCTAGGTGAGTGATTCTTTTTTCCGGGTTTAGGGTTGAGGGCCCAGGGTTTAGGGTGAGTCTCCGTTTAAGATTTGGTTTAGGGTTTCTTTTCGGTTTCGGGTTGTGGGGTGTGGGGGCTTTTAGGGTTTTAGGGTTTAGGATGTGGGCAGTTGGTGAGTTGTGACCTGGACTTAGGGTTTACTGTTAAAACAAACCGAAGTTGTTGGGTTGAGGGTTTAAGGTGGTTTGCTTCCAGAGGTTCTATTGAGCTTTGGGGAGTGCCATAGCGTTGTATGATCAGGGCCTAATCCTTGAACTATGGTTTTGTGGCCAATACCTATGCAAAGACAGAAAAGTAGGATGAATAGTCCAGGGAATGTTCAGAGCTTACACTGACCCACCGTAAAACAAGAAACAATAGGAAAAGACAGTACTACTGGGGCACCACATGGCCAGAGAAAGACGAAATGCCGTGGCAAGAAAGCTGGGCCGACAAAGACTGGACAAACCTTTTCACATGTCGCTGCTTTCGGCCCCTTGCTGTGCAGAAATGCTGCCATCTCAAAGGCGCACCGCAACCTTGCAGGGACAAACCCTAAACCCCAAACTGAAGGTCGGCCCCCCACCGCAGCGATGGGGGCCGGCCGCCGCAGGCGGACCGGAAGGCGCCTGCGGGACCGTAGGCG